TGGGTTTACGAAGATGTATAGTTACTTTTCTTGACCTTTTTCAAACCGGATTGAAAGATATGTACAGCCAAGAATGGGCTAATATATTATGATCAGTACTAGATATAAATAGTATGGACTTTTTAAGATAAGAATAGAAGCAGAGACATATTTAACGGAATCGACCTTGTGAACATTTGCTACCGGTTTTGCCCGTACAAGGCTTAATATTGATACCGGGAGACACCACAAAATTAAAAAAATCTGAAGGATATGTACATATTGTAATCTAAACAATATCGAAGATCAGTATCATATCACCTTTATATATTCATCCTTAAAACATATTCGAAAGCAAAACATACAAAATAAATATGCGATTCGACCATCAGTGCAACAATTTCATCGCCTAATGATTGCCTCAAACTATCAAGACTTAAAATCTGTTATGTTTTATTTCACATATGAGGAGAAAGTACAGAAAGTGTGAATTTGTAGAATGATGCTGTACTGTATTGTATGCACTTCATGTATTGGGCCTATTTCCTTTCGTACAATAAACATTTGAATTTGACTTCCTGGTTTTGAAAGCTGCACTTAGAATATATATAGTTTTGTTAACGTTTAGGTCCATGGCTCCGAAAATACTTTATTTTCACAAGTTAGTTCACTGAAAGTAAATATTACTATGTGGGTATTACAACTGGTGGGTAGGTCATAGGTTTAGGCTGCATTATTTAATAGTTATATATTATTCGGGGTTAATTCAGATCTGGTGATAGGTTCCCACAAGTGTACAAGGTGAGGTGAGGTGAAATGGGGTTTAACGTCGCGTCCAAGATTATTGCACTTATATAGCGACGTGCATGTACGTGTGTGTGTTTTTGTGGCTGCTTGTACTAGTCCGGACTGATGCCGATTTATAGTGCTAGCTCACTGAGATACCATGCCGCAGTTTAACATGAATACCCTACTCAGACACAGTATACTGACTCCGAGCTGACCAGTCCTGTTTTAGCCCCTTAATGCCGAGCGCCAGACAGGGTAACAACAAGTACCATCTTTTAAAGTCTTTTGGTATGACGCGGCCGGGGATTGAACCCCGGACCCTTCAGTTCTCCGGGCGGACTCTCTACCACTAGACCACGGAGACGGCCACACACAAGTGTACAAAGAACGAAGACCCTTCCCGCTGTCCTCCATTCAAAGGAGGATGATCCATATCTCGGACATATGACACTCGTGAAAGAAGCGCCGGTTTTACCAACAAGCAGCTCTTTGTTGCTTGGGCAGTGAGGCATACGTCATATATTTAATTACATGTTTGTTGAAATAGTGTTGTTGTGTCGACCACACACATATGATTCACTTACAAGTAAAGAGGTGACAAGGGTAAGAGACTCTCACGTTACTGGTAATATCAATTTAATCAAATATGTCTGATATTAATATTATAAGCAAGTACGACCACGTCCGTTTCACTGTGGCTGACTTACACGGAAGATCTAGGGGAAGAGTTGTGCCAGCACGACATGCTGAGAGATACATTAAGACCAGTGTCAAGATGTTTGCAGGTCACACAAAATTGTTTTCTGACATGTTCGATCTGATAATGATATTCATTTATATTATACATTTATATATCCCCCTATTCCCGACCAGTGGATCCTTATACATCCAGCTCACATATCGAATATCCATTCCCTGCTGGGTGAACATGGGCACGTTTGAACTGTCACTCGCCCAGGGTGACACCACACGTTTTGACACTTGTGTTTCGTGGGTGTTAACGTATTCGTGTTTCCATCATCTGGTTGTCTACCAACGGATAAGTGATGTATTTTAGGTGCGCAGGGTGAACGTTTGTGACAATACCGTAAAGAACTATAAACAGTGTCGGTCCAAAGGTTGAATAACAATCTGGTCAATATCAGGATACGCCCAATCTGCCACAGGCAAGTGAAGATAGTGTGGCAGAACTAATAAAATACTCGACTGCAGTATTTTGTAAGAAAAAAACATACTCACAAACACGCGGACACCAAACTGGCAAAATGTATTAAAAAAGCCGACCCCAATTTCAGTCGGATCTTTACGACACTTACATGTATAACCTCAGGAATCACAAATCTAAGTACACATTTAGACATTATTGATTGATCTGTCAACTGATTGAAAAGGTAACATGAACAAGTATATCATGTATATTTGTCTTTTTGTAGTTTCATATTAATAGATATTTTGGACTGAAACGTGTACAACAATACTAATGCCAAATGATATGAAAAAGATAAGATTGGTATGATCAAATACATTGTTTGATACAGATGTGTCATGGAGCAATGTGATAATAACATTGAAACATCATGAAGAAAAGCGCAGTCAACATGTAACGAAGCCAGAGAAATGCTTTGCATCATAATGTACGTGACATTGACATGGATGTTAGCACGATTCTGCCTGATTGACTGGATCAGTTAATAAATGTGAGCCAGCACCTCTGTTAAAGCCATAGCAGAGAAAAATATCAAATTTACAGTGAATAAATGCCATGCAGATTTACACTGAATGATCTAGTGAGTGAGTGAGTATGGTTTTACGCCGCAATATTCCAGCAATATCACGGCGGGGGACAGCAGAAATGGGCTTCACACATTTCACCCATGTCGGGAATCGAACATGGGTCTTCGGCGAGACAAGCGAACGCTTTAACCACTAGGCTACCCGACCGCCCTGGTGGATCTAAGTGCTCAGTTGCTGGTCGTGTTGGTGCTGGTGTCTTCATTTTGTAATGAAACAAGAGAAAGTTCTGTACGTTTAGCTGATCACTTGTCAGTATTTTCTGCTGAGCATGAAGCAATCATTGAAGCATTGCGTTGGACTCATTTTTAGGCCTGTGTCAGTGGTCATTTTTTGTGATTCTGTCTGTGCTTTACAAACATTTCAGTCAGATTCTACCTCAGCGAGGCAGGGCTTAATCAAAATTTCCACGTTGAATTTCCATGGACAGCCTTTCATGTTGGACTGCATGGAAAAAACAAGGCTGATAAATTGCTGTAAGATGCATTAGACATTGATGAGTCAGAGAAAAAAGACATAATATTAACTTCTTCTGCAGCTTTAGGCACCGTTAGTAACATCCATGCCAAAACAAAATCATCCTGAAAAGGACGCCGTCTCTATCTCACCAGGGCCTGTTATTGATAAAATTACAAATATCTTGAAATAATCAGAGAGAAGAGGTTCTCTTCACCAGACTTCGACTCGGGCATTGTGGTCTTGGTTCATATCTCAACATTCTTAATAAAGACATTTCTGCAAATTGTACAGTTTATAATCATCTTGACAATGTGGATGATTTTTTATTATGTAAATCAACGTAAGGTAAACAATTATCAATATCAACCTCTCATTGGCTGGAATATTATGTTCTAGAACTCTCGTTCGCCATGAAGCTCAGAATGTAATTCTTGCTTATATCAAATCGTGTGGCAGTTTCTCCACTTTATAACATTTCTTGGAATTCAGTAAAGGTTTTTTATGGGCAAGGTGTAAATGAACCTAGTTGCCCGAACACCTACACAACTTTCAAAGATCAATCACTCCATCAATCGACAAGCAGAAGATTGATGGAAACAAAAAGGGCCCAGGTCTAGAGAAATTGAAATTGTGGTTTTATTGTTATCGTCTGAACATGATCAAAACCTCATTGGTATTGTCGATATAAACATGCGTCCCCAACAAAGCAATCCTTGTCATAAGCGAAGATATATTTCATCGCAGTTTGGTGAGGTTTACAACCAGGATCGTTTACTTGTGCACTGGTTTTCCTGGTTCAGATTCGATTGTATACAGACCGCTGACTACTGCGCTATGAAGGCATTTAATAATAATTAACGTGTTCTGATCGCGATATAACTGCAATATTGCCGATGTGATGTATTATGTCAACCTACTCATTCCTTGATCCGGGTTGGAATAGGTCTTCAGCAACCCATGCTTGCTGTAACAGGCGACTATGCTTGTCATAAGAGGCGAACGGGTGGTCAGGCTCCCTGACTTGGTTGATGCATGTCATCGCATCCCGATTGCGTAGATCGATGTACATGATATAAATCATTGCTCAGTGATGCGTTAAACATCAAACAACAACAACATGCTTACTGTGAGACCAAGTTTTAAGTACAAATCTGTGATGCTCAGGTGTTTATAGTCTTTATAGTTATTATTAACATATAACTTGTTCTAGTTATGCAATGGCTGAGACATTGCTTATGTGACTTGAAGTTTTAACTCACTGTGAGACCATCATATTTCCACTTCCAGTTGTGATATACAACATGAAGCAGTCATCAACACTCCTCGTGAAACGCAGGATCATGAAACATATATATCAGGACATGATCGTTCAGACGAGTTTAGTTTAAGGCCGCTGGTCTAAGTATTTCTGTAATATGTTCTTCTCACGGAACAAAAGCCGCCAAAACATTCTTTGACCACTAATTGGCTTGCATGTGTTGTCTTTTGTTTTAAAATGTGTAAGCGTCTGTGACTTGCCTTACTTTGGAAATTCCTTCCATCATGAAAATCATTTTACAAACAGCTGTATCTGATAAATGCTCCTTGCAGAGTTGCGTCCCTTAATCGTGACTGAATCGTGTGATAAATCTTGGTTAAATGCATTTTAGATTCCCCAGCATTCGGTTTCCACAACGTACTCGTTTTAATAATTACAGGGCCCGTGAAGATCTGGGGTAGAATAGGTCTTCAGCAACCCATGTTTGCCGTAAAAGGCATGTCATCGGTCCCAATTGCGTGGATCGATGCTCATGATAGCAATCACTGGATTTTCTGGTCCAGACTCGATTATTTACAGACCGCCGTCATTTAGCTGGACTATTGCTGAGTGCGGCGTAAAACAACAAACCAAGCAACCAACCAATCATAATTACAGACAGAGTAGACAGAAATCAGTTTTGACTAAATTGTGGTTTCAACTAATTTCATTGCATATGTTTCAGGTTCATTGTCGATTGCACTCAACGGTGAAATAGTCGGTCCATCAGAGAAGCTCAAAGATGACAGAGTGCCCAAAGCGTATGCACTGCCTGATTTCAGTACCTTGTATAATGTATCTTGGTGTGGTAATGACGACATCAAGGTGGCTGAGGTTATCTGTGAGAGCTACTGGTTAATGAGCAGATCGGTGCAACTTGCATGTCCTCGATATGTTGCACGACAACAATTAGAAAAATTGACCAATCATGGATTTAGCCTCTTTTCTGGATACGAGGTTGAATTTACACTGGCACAAGCTGGCATACCGTATCCTCTTGAACCAGATTACATGCGTCACAGATTAGTCAGCAAACATGACGGTTTTCTATTTTACCTTGAAAAACACATGCACCAAGCAGGTGTCGACATAGGCTCTTTCCATTCTGAGGGGGATGCAGGATTGTTTGAGATGGTACTCCAACCATCGTATGGCATCAAAAGTGCTGATTCGTGCATTACCTTTAAGAACGGAATTCTAGAAATAGGGGATAAGAAAGATTATTCGGTTAGTTTCAACTCCATGCAAGAATCTGGCGGAGTAGGAATGCATTTTAACCATTCTCTTTGGTCCTTATCCGGGGGCGTCAATGTGTTCCACGATCCTGACAGTGACCATGGTCTCAGCACTTTAGGAAGATACTGGCTGGCCGGTCTCATGAAACATGCGAAGGCTCTGAGTGCTTTCTTCTGCCCGACCAGCAACTGTTACGATCGTTTGCACAAGCCCAATCTTCCTGGACTCATCTACTGGAGTACTGATAAACGTTCTGCTTGCGTTAAAGTCAAGTCTGTGGATGCTGGGACCTATGTTGAAAATCGCATTCCCAGTGGGATGAGCAACCCTTACATCACTCTGGCGGCCACAATAGCTGCAGGGTTAGATGGGATTGTGAAGAAGTTGGAGTGCCCTCCTCTGGATAAAAGTGTCCTGACCAATGCTCTTCCTCATACTCTTTCAGAGGCTTTAAGTGAACTTCAAGCAGACACGGATATGATACACAGTTTGGGAGAAGACTTCATTCATTGGTTTGTATGCACCATGAAGACGGACATTGAGGCTTCTTGCAGAGTTGCGTCCCTTAATCGTGACTGACTCCTGTAATCAGGTCCTGAATTCCAGATTCCATCTGATTATGATCCTTGGCTTGTTTGTAACTGAAATACTGTTCAAAGCGGCGTGTTAAAATTACGTTATGTTTATTCTTATATGTCTTCATTACCAATAATGCCAATCAGAAACTGATAACGTAAATTAGGATTATTAAATTTGAATACAGGATGTCTGTTTCTGATTGACAATTGAACGAAATACATAATGATGAGTTGTTTGCTGTGTAGTACTACACTTAGCGACATTCCAGCTATACGATCGCGATCTGTAAACTTTTAAGTTTGGACCAGAACATATTTAAGTGATTTATTGTAAATATATGATTCTGGTACCTCATATGTATTACATATACAAATGACTGCACCGTTTTGAGATGCATACGTCACGTTACGAAAAAAGACTGCTGTATTGATGTTGAAACGATGTTTTATACCTCTACTAATACATACAAATATTAGATCACATTGTCATAGATCCGGATACATAACAATAAATGAAATCACATACGAATAGTACAGTCTTGAGAATATCCGTACATTCACCGGCACGATATCTCAGTATGACAAACATGACTAGGAGGGATGCATAATATAATCAGTATACCATCTTTCTTTCTTCATTGTTGTTTAACAACGCACGCAGCAATATTTCAGCTATATGACGGCGGTCTGTTGCGAATCGAGTCTGGACAAGACAATCCAGTGATTGACATCAGGAGCATGTTTATCAGGTTCAAGTGTTCTCGTTTATATGTAATAGATCACATGTATACTGCAAATCCTCCCGTAAGATGCTGTTTGCAGTAGTTGAGATACCAGGTTCCAGTGTATTTTATCTGAGGGAGTTGTTTACCAAGTATTTTGTGATCAAGGAATGTACGCTGCAGTGTATGTAAGATGAAATGTATTAAATGGATCATGTAACGTATGTGTGTTTTCGCAGTTGCGTAAATGAAACTCAGACATGCAACGCACAGCTTGTTCCCCTATTAAATGTGTTAAATATAGAGTAACTTATTAGCATAGGATATATGTTTATATTTATAACTTCTGCGATTAGGCCGTTGTACTAAATCATGTCAAATGCTTTAAAAAGGTACAAGAAGACCTTAGCTATTCTGATGTCGTGTTCAATTCGGATGTTGTGGTCTGAAGCTGTTCTTTTAAGCGTGAATCCACTCTGGTCTGGATGTAATAGGTTATTACTATCTCTATGGAGTGATTGCTATCTCTATGGATTTATTACTATCTCCCACGGGGTTATGACTATCTCTATGGAGTTATTACTATCTCCGGGGGGCACGGGTGACCCAGTCGTCTAAGGCGCCGCGATTCGCTGTGCAGAGTTGCGTCCCTTGGGCACGCCAGAAACCTATGATTGTGGGTTCGAATCCCGGTTCGCCCCAATTATGTTTCTAGGTTTGTCAGCACCATACCCGTGCTCGTGGGTTTCACCGAAGTGGTAAACGTCTGAGACCTGCATCACTTCGGGCTTTCCTCCCACATTAAGCTGACACGCCGCGATATAACTGGAATATTGTTAAAAGCGGCGTTAAACCAAACTCACTCACTCACTCACTATTACTATCTCCATGGGGTAATTACTTTCTCTATGGTGTTATTACTATCTCCACGGCTTTTTTACTATCTCTATGGAGTTATTACTATCTCTGTGGAGTTATTACTATCTCCATGGGGTTATTACTATCTCTATGGAGTAATTACTATCTCTATGGAGTTATTACTATCTCTATGGAATTATTACTATCTCTATGGAGTTATTACTATCTCCATGGGGTTATTACTATGTCCATGGAGTTATTACTATCTCTATGGAGTTATTACTATCTCCATGGGGTTATTACTATCTCTATGGAGTTATTACTATCTCTATGGAGTTATTACTATCTCCATGGGGTTATCACTTACTCCATGGAGTTATTACTATCTCTATGGAGTTATTACTATCTCCCACGGGGTTATTACTATCTCCATGGGGTTATTACTATCTCTATGGAGTTATTACATGGGGTTATTACTATCTCTATGGAGTTATTACTATCTCCATGGGGTTATTACTATCTCTATGGAGTTATTACTATCTCCCACGGGGTTATTACTATCTCCATGGGGTTATTACTATATCTATGGAGTTATTACTATCTCCGGGGTTATTACTATCTCCATTGAGTTATTACTATCTCTATGGAGTTATTACTATCTCTATGGAGTAATTACTATATCTATGGAGTTGTAGTCTATTTTGGATTATGGTGACTAAGATATTGCATATGTTGGATGTGACAGAGATTGTATGATTCTGGGTTGTTGTGGGGATTTGTCTGGGATGACTAGTTCTAGTTCCTGTGTGTTGGTATATGTCCGTTAACACATGTTCAGGTGGTCGCCCCGTTAAGCCATGCGCTGTGATTTGTTTACGAATACGAAGGGTGTATTTAATGTCGTGCGTGATTAAGTTCGTGCGTTGCATTGTAGGCATTGTGGGAAAAAGTCATGTCACGTAGGTGGTGAACTGTCATCTCATGTCATGTCAATTTATTTAAGACCTCTCAAGTACAACATTATTTGCTGGTACAGCAGTTGATTATTCATAAATATGTTCATACATTTAAACACACTTAATAAATAATAAATATTTGATGTCAACACACTCTACAAATATATACTTAACGAAATTAAAAACTTCACAATCGTAAAATTTTAACATTTTGACCAGTTATCATTGTGGGCCCTTATTGTGTATTTAAACAGTAATGACCACGTATTGTCTTCAGATAACACCCGTTTTTGTGCAGGTGAATCGATTAAAATCATGTGCACAGCACTATAGTGGAAACAGTGTTTTTTCACGTGCAACTGGTCACGTGGCCATAATACCGCACGCGTTTTCAGCCATACTTGTTAGAAGTCATTAACAAAAAAACAAAAAAACAAAAAAACAAAAGTCTTTACGGCCATTTGTCATGCCACGCCTTTCAAATGTGCAACGTGAACGTGCCATCGGCATGTTGCTAACGGGAACGTCCGTAGCTGAAGTCGCAAGGACGATGGGTTGTAGTCGGCGGACTGTTTATGATTTACAGACGCGTCTACAGCAAACGGGTACCACCGCTGATCGCCCTCGGCCAGGTCGACCACGGGTGACGTCACATGCAGAGGATCGTCACATTGTCTTACGTCACCTCCGTAACCGATTTTTGACGGCTACATCAACCAGAAATGAACTGTTTAGGGGTAGACTGAGTGCGCAAACTGTTCGAAAACGTCTGAGAACTGCTCATCTTCAAACACAACGGCCATACTGCGGGCCGATTCTGACTCAATTACACAGACGTCAACGTCAATTGTGGGCACAGCGACACTTACGATGGACTCACAGGAATTGGAATCAAGTCGTCCTCAGTGATGAATCGCGATTTAATCTTCGATTTGCTGATGGTAGGGCGAGGTTGTGGAGGCGCCGTCATGAACGTTACGCCCAGTGTTGTGTACAGGAAGGAAGTGTCATGGTGTGGGGTGCTTTCTGTGGCAATGCACGTTCCAGGCTTCTTGTTATCTGTGGCAACCTCAACGCTGCTGCTTACCGCGAACAGGTACTGGCACCAGAACTTCTGCCTTTCATGGCAGCACATGGCCCGGTTTGATCTTCCAACACGACAATGCCAGACCCCACACAGCAATTTTGACAAGGAATTTCCTTCAGAATGCGGGAGTCAACGGAATGGACCGGCCGTCAAGGTCTCCCGACCTCAATCCCATCGAACACGTCTGGGATGCTCTTGGCAGAAGTCTTCGCACTCTCCAGAACCAACCACAGAATTTGCAAGATCTTGGCACCATTTTGCAGCAACAATGGCGTCGTCTTCCCATTCATGTGTTCACAAGCATCACAAGGTCCATGCGGAGGCGTTGTGTGGCAGTTGTCAACGCACATGGTGGCCATACACGCTACTGAACTTGTGGGCCATCAGATTCTCGTGCTTGGGACTTATGATTTAAACTGTTGATTTTATTACCGAATACCGTAGGTGCTTGGAACAAATTATGGTTACCACCGTTAATTAAAATCCTTCTTTGGACATTAATGATTAAAAATTATCTTCTCTGATACATTTGTCCGTTGTATATCATATATGGGATTACTTTTAAAAATGTGAAGTTTTTAATTTGACTCAGTATATATATAATAATAGTACATACTACTTAACCTGCTATACATGATCATAATTAATGAAATGGTTTATTCATGATCAATCGAAAGAATTCATGGACAGATTATATTATTATTTTCAAATTAATATCTATTCACAGATTAGGATTGCCACTCAGGAGAGTATTCTAATCAAACCTTTCAGTGTAAAAGTACCTATTTGATCTTAAATACGTATAATTAGGACACCGAAGAAGTGCGTGAAGACCGCCTTCATAATTATATCCACAATATAAGCATCATGAATAAAGCGATCAAACTCGTGACCATTAAGGTCATTATTAAGGTCAATACGTATAGGTCACAGGACTTTGTGTACAGAATATAATAATACAGACAGGCTGTTAAACATTGGATAATACCTTTCTTTCAATATGAACACAATGAATGCATTTAGCTAATTAACTGCAGTGTTGGGTTGAATTTGTGATAGTTTGGATGGCGATGGAACTTGGTTTTTATATTCGTTTGTCTTAAACTATCAAACACGGGGCAGATAAATATAAAGTGGTATTCGTTTCAACACAGTTTCAGCTGAATAACTTACATTTACGTAGATTTCGTGGAATATTTGCATGCCGCCCACGTTCGATTTCTAGATCGTGACAGCTTAATCGAAATCTGGAAAGAACAGATTTTAGTCTGACGGCATGAGTTTCAGTTAGGTTTCACAATTTATAACAAAACGTTTTGAATTGTGCATAATAATGCATTTTGTAGGAGGAAAGTAGTTCACTATGCCATGATTGCTG